GTGTTAGCCAGGATGGTCTCGATCTCCTGACCTCGTGATCCGCCCGTCTCGGCCTCCCAAAGTGCTGGGATTACAGGCTTGAGCCACCGCGCCCGGCCCGCCCAGCTAATTTTTAGTAGAGATGGGGTTTCACCCTGTTGGCCAGGCTGGTCTCAAACTCCTGACCTCAGGTAATCTGCCTGCCTCAGCCTCCCAGTGTGCTGGGATTTACAGGCATAAGCCACTGTGCCTGGCCTCTGAATTTTTCTATTTTATTTTTAGAGACAGGGTCTTTCTCTGTTGCCCAGGCAATCCTCTCACCTCTTAGCCTCCCAAGCAGCTGGGACTACAGGTGTGGACTACCACACCTAATTTTTTTAAAAAAACTTTTTTGTAGAGATGGAGTCTCACTATGTTGTCCCAAACTCCTGGCCTCAAGTGATCCACCGCACCTGGCACCCATCTGGAATTTTTATTTTATTTTATTTTATTTTTGAGACGAAATCTCACTCTGTTGCCCAGGCTGGAGTGCAGTGGCGCAATCTTGGCTCACTGCAACCTCTGCCTCCCTGGTTCAAGTGATTCTCCTGCCTCAGCCTCCTGAGTTGCTGGGACTACAGGCGTGCGCCACCATGCCTGGCTAATTTTTGTATTTTTAGTAGAGACGGGGTTTCACCATGTTGGTCAGGCTGGTCTCCAACTCCTGACCTTGTGATCCGTCTGCCTCGGCCTCCTAAAGTGCTGGGATTACAGGAGTGAGCCACCGCACCCAGCCTGGAATTTTTCTTATACTGAAGTTTGTGTCTACGTGACTCGAGCATATGATGGTATGTGTTCGATTATTGTGGGTCTAGTGTGTGGTTTTCCCTGAAAGCGCTATGTCTTCCCTTCAGTGTACTTGAGACTTCTCCAGGTGCAGAGGAGTGAGTGACCCTCCAGGGCCACATAGGAAGCGAGGAATAGGGTCTAAACCAGTCCTTGGACCTCTTGCCTCACTCAAGGGGAAGGGCAGAGCTAGGAGGAAGTGCGTCTTGTCCTCAAGACCAGCCAGGAATTCCTGAAGGCAGAACTTACACCCTATATACCCTCTATATCCTCTGATTCTTTCCGGTGGCAGGGGTGTCTAAAGGCCCCAGAATTTCAGGTGCTATCCTTTCCAGTAGTATGTACCTGGAAGTGTTCCCAGGAGAATGACATTTTTTGGGTTTGTGTGTTTGTTTTACCTTTTTTGCTCTACTAGAGAAATACATTCTATTTCTTTCTTTCTTTCTTTTCTTTCTTTCTTTCTTTTTTGGAGATGGAGGCTCGCTCTGTTGCCCAAGCTGGAGTGCAGTGGCGTGATCTTGGCTCACCGCAACCTCTGCCTCTACTGCCTCAGCCTCCCGAGTAGCTGAGATTACAGGCATGTGTCACCACGCCTGGCTAATTTTGGTATTTTTAGTAGAAATGGGGTTTCACCATTTTGGCCAGGCTGGTCTCGAACTCTTGACCTCAGGTGATCTACCTGCCTTGGCCTCCCAAAGTGCTGGGATTACAGGTGTAAGCCACCCCACTGGGCCGAGAATGACATTCTAATAATGGAGACATAGATCCCTGGTCCCTGGATTACCCACTTGGGTGGGCCACCATCTCTCCTTGACTCCCTGTGAGGCAAGGCGGGGCCAAGCCTGTGACCCACTGGAGATTCCACTGTCCTTCACACCTCACCTTCCACATGGCCAGGACCAGGATGGTGAGCAGCAGCAGGCCGCCCAGCACACCCACCAGCACCCACCAGATTGGAATGGCCCTCTCCTCCAAGGCCCGAAGCAGCTGTGTCCGCACCTGGGGGCAAACCCACGTGTCTTCTCAGTCACCTTGACACCTGCCTTTCTTTCTTTCTTTCTTTCTTTCTTTTTTTTGAGATGGAGTCTCACTCTGTCACCAGGCTAGAGTGCAGTGGCGTGATCTCCACTCACTGCAACCTCCACCTCCTGGGTTCAAGAGATTCTCCTGCCTCAGCTTCTCGAGTAGCTGGGACTACAGGTGCGTGCCACCACGCCCAGCTAATTTTTGTATTTTTAGTAGAGACAGGGTTTCACCATGTTGGCCAGGATGGTCTCAATCTCTTGACTTCATGATCCACCTGCCTCAGCTTCCCAAAGTGCTGGGATTACAGGCATAAGCCACCACACCCGGCAGACACCTGCCTTTCACAAAGACTCAAACCTCAGGCTGGTGACCTCCAGCCATGCCACCCACCCATACCACCCCTCAGACCTTCCTGACTGGTCACTGACTGGGGACAATGGGTCCTGCAGGACTGGTCTCTGCTCCAGCCCCCCACACTCACCTGAGCTTCCCCTCGTGGCAGGCTGAGCGGGGGCACGGCATAGGGGAGGGAGGACACGTTGAACCATGCCTGTGACTGCAGCACGAACTGATCCAGTGGCCTCTGGACAGGTTGGGGTTGAAAGCCATAAACACCCACACGAGGCCTATTGGTTGCAGGAGTCCGGGTCCCACACTCCCGGCGGGGAAGCCCTGCCTCTGGCCTAATCCCCTGCAATCCCCCAAAGTAAACCTTGCCTTCCCTCTCTTCCTGCCCTTCCCACACCAAACCCCGCCCCTCCCAGAGCAAAGTGGTCCCCGCCTAGAAGGCCCGGCCCTGCCACCCTACGGCCCGCCCCACCTGGTGAAGGCTGGGCAGCCACAGGAAAGCCAGCACCGTGACCATGGCCCGCTGCCCGCGCGCCATCTCCTGCAGGTCACACTGCACCACAGTACAGGGCGCCGAGTCGCAGCTCTGAGGGGAGGCGTCGTCAGTTCCCAGCCCGTCCTGGCCCATCGCCCCATCACCCCCCCTCCCCCCGCCCTTACCCCCAGGACCCAACTCAGAGGGGGCCGGGAGTTCAGGGAGTGGTGGCCTCCCCATCAGGAAGGGCCTTGGATCCAAGCTTCGGATGCTGGCTCTCCACGGGCTTGCTCACATAGTCCCAGAGATGCAGGGAGGGTCATACCCCAGCACGCAATGCCCAGAGCTATGATAACCTTGCTTTGGCATTATTTTATGTTCCTTAACGTACTGGGAAGCTTTAAAAAAGTGCAGGTGTCTTTCAGCTCACCCCAGACACAAGCCAGTGTGCTCCTCCATGTTGAAATGCTCCATGGGACCAAGCGTGGCCCACAGAGGCCCACAGCACACCCGGACCCCTCTCCCTCCTCCCATCCCCTCTGCCCCTTGGGCCCCGGGGAGGCCCCACTGGAGACCAGAGAGCCTGCTCACTACGAGAACTGGATCCTGAAGCCTCGAGGGCTGCTCGGACTCTGGCAGGAAGATCTGTCTGCGATCCCGCTTGTGGTGGGCCGGGTGAACGGGGGAGGGGCTGGGGGTGGGCAGCCCCCAGTCCACCTGGTAGGGCAAAGGAGTGGTCAGGCCCAGGTCTCTGCCGAACCCCAGCCCACAGAGGTGCCCCGGTGGTTGGTCTGGGGCCCCCTTCACAGCTCTTTCTTCCACCCAGCTCTCACCTTGAGGGGGTTGACAGGAGGCTGTGGGAAGCACTGAAGGCCCCCCTGGGGCTGTATATCCAGGATGTAGAGCAGGTCGGAGTGCTGGGACTGCCCCGGGAGGTGGATGCTGAGGTGAAGGCCATTCACAGTCCCAGGGCCATTGTTGTGGAGCTGGAGGGGTGGTGGTGGCAGGGTGCGGGGAGCTCAGCCCCTCACCCGGAGTTCTGAGGACTGGCTCACCCCAGCCCGGGACGCGAGGCTCCTCCCTACCTCATAGGTGTGCTCCACTTTGGGTCCCCGGCTGTCCAAGCTGTTCTGCTCCCTGTCACCTTCGTCTGCAGCCACCACCAGGGAGGCTGGAAAGGAGTTCCTGCAGGTGCCCAAGACCCCCAGAGAGAGTGTGATGCCCTGACTGGCCTGTGGGGTTCCCCAGCGCCCCCTGGAGTTGAGAGCCCTGAATACCACCTCCATTCTCCACCCCTGGCCTCTCACCCTCGCAGCTCCACTTGGGCCTCTGCCCGGACTGGCACATCCAGCAGCACAATCTTGCTGTTTGGATTCTGGCTGTTCTTGCTAGAGGGGAGGGGATGAGGAGAAACAGGGCCAGGGACACCAGCCCAGTGACTCTCTGAGGGTGAGGCCAGAATTTTAGAGAGTTCAGAGAAAGCTAATTATACAAACAGCATGCCACACTGAAGTTAGGCCTGGGAAAGAACGTCCTCTACGGCTCCAAGACTCAGATGTAAGTCTCTGAGGAAGAAAGGGAACTAGGCTTCTTCAAAGATCTTTTTTTTTTTTTTTTTTTTTGAGATGGCGTCTCGCTCTGTCACCCAGGCTGGAGTGCAGGGGCCCAATCTCAGCTCACTGCAACCTCCACCTCCCAGGTTCAGTTCAAGCTATTCTCCTGCCTCAGCCTCCTGAGTAGCTGGGATTGTAGGTGCACATCACCACACCCAGCTAATTTTTATATTTTTAGTAGAGATGGGGTTTCACCATGTTGGCCAGGTTGGTCTCCAACTCCTGACCTCCAGTGATCCGCCTGCCTTGGCCTTGCAAAGTGCTGGGATTACAGGTGTGAACCACCGTACCTGGCCTCAAAAGACCCTTTTGTATGGAAGGGAGCTGAGGGGCTTTGCACGGGGGTCAGACAGGGGAAGGGTGGTGGGTAGGCACGCTTGCTGGGTCAGTACCTCCGGATCTGCAGCTGGAAGGACACAGACTCCCCAGCCTCTTCCAGATTCCCCACGCTCACCAACATCGCAATTCCTATCTGGGAGATGAGGAGGGTCAAGGTCACTGCCCAAATGCTCCACTTCGGACAGCCCTGCCCTGAATGTGGCCTCCAGTCTTCACCCTTCAAGATCACCATTATTCTTTCTTTTCTTTCTTTTTTCTGAGATGGAGTCTCGCTCTGTCACCCAGGCTGGAGTGCAGTGGCATGATCTCGGCTCACTGCAACCTCCACCTCTCAGGTTCAAGTGATTTTCCTGCCTCAGCCTCCTGAGGAGCTGGGACTATAGGCGTGCGCCACCATGCCCAGGTAATTTTTGTATTTTTAGTAGAGACGGGGTTTCGCTATGTTGTCCTGGCTGGTCTTGAACTCCCGACTTCATGATCCACCCATCTCGGCCTCCCAGTGTGCTGGGATTACAGGCGTGAGCCACCGCGCCAGGCCACCATTATTATTTCTATTTTACCTGGAAGCCCACTGGGTAAAGGGGCTCAGAGAGGGAAAGTCACTCACCCAAGCACATGGGGCGAGGGAGTGTGAGGTCCAAGATTCTGGCCCAGAACTATGCGGTTCTAAAACCTCACCCCTAAAATCTGGTTGTTCACAAGCCACTGGTGGAGACCCGGCACCACGACCCAGCAGCCTCACCTGGGTGTTCTTCTTCATGGGATTGCCCAGCTCACACAGCACCACCCTGGTCTCATTCTCTTTCTTCTGGTTACAGATGAGTCTCTCAAAGCCCTTCAGGACAGCAGTTTCAAGAAAGAAATTACAGAGCATCAGCGTCATATATATATATTTAAGCTCCCTTGGAAGGTCTGGAAAGATTTGTGTGCCAAGGTAGGGAGGGGGGTTTCTTGGGGTGGGATCTCAAGGGACTGTCACGTGCTAGTGTGTGTATTGCTGTAGCACTATTACTTTTTATGCATTTTCATTTTGGAAATAAAAAACACAAAGCATTAGAGTATGACCCCATTATTATAAACTACATTAACAACATAAAAATAAATATATACTTATGTGAGTGCCAGTCAATATTGAAAAAAAGACTGGAAGGAAATCCTCCAAATGTTAACAGAGGTTCCTGTTAACATTTGGTTCCTAAGCCTTTTTTGTTTTGCTGGTTTTTGTAATAGAGTTCTGGAATTCTGTGCCATTAGCAAGTATTCCTCTTTCAAATAAAAAATAAAAAATTACGTCTTTGACAGCAAAGCAGAAGAGAAGAGAGACTCTCAGGGAGGGAGACGAGAGAGCCAAGGCTCCAGCGACTCCCAGGTCCTGTGTACTGTTCCCAGGGTGGGGGCTGTACCTCAACGTTGCTTCGGGCCCGCATGTAGTGGGCCCCCTGGGGCAGGTGCACAGCCACCTCTGCTTCATAGGCTCCCTCACCCTCGTTGGCTGTGTCCATCTGCAGCTCCAGGACATTATCTGCCCCAACTAGGAGTGGGGAGCCTGTCCTGTGGGGAAAGAGGAGTGAAGCCAGATGGCCTGGGTCTGGGCCCAGGATGTGGGAAGAGAGGGGACTCAGGTGGGGAGCAGGTATGACAGGCAGAAAGGGCCAGGATCGGGCGGAGTGGGAGGCCTCCTCACACGCTGGCAGTGAGCTGAAGCTGGGGCACACACACGTCATCTTCCCCGCAGTCCAGGACGATTCGTGTCTAGGGGGACACATTGGGGTGTGTGGGTAAGCTGGGGACGTGTGAGGTTTGGGGATTACATCAGGGTGAGGAAAACAGTGGGCTTTGGGTTCACATAGGGGCTTAGGGAGTAAGAAGATCTGAGGATGAAAAGGAGTTTGGAGATGGGGCTCTGGGGTTTATTTGGAGGTTTAAGACAATGTCAGGGTTTATCAATTTACATTAGAGCTTAGAGGATACTGGGATTGTTAGGTGTTTATTTTATTTTTTTGGAGACAGAGTCTTGCTCTGTCGCCCAGGCTGGAGTGCAGTGGCACAATCTTGGCTCACTGCAAACTCCGCCTCCCTGGTTCACGTCATTCTCCTGCTTCAGCCTCCCGAGTAGCTGGGACTACGGGCGCCCACCACCACACCTGGCTAATTTTTTTTGTGTGTATTTTTAGTAGACATGGGGTTTCACCGTGTTAGCCAGGATGGTCTCGATCTCCTGACCTCGTGATCTGCCCACCTCGGCCTCCCAGCCTCCCAAAGTGCTGGCATTACAGACATGAGCCACTGCTCCCGGCCTTTTTTTTTTTTTTTTTTTTTTTTTGAGACAGAGTCTCGCTCTGTCACCCAGGCTGGAGTGCTGTGGCACAATTACTGCAACCTTTGCCTCCCAGGTTCAAGTGATTCTCCTGCCTCGGCCTCCCAATTAGCTGGAATTACAGGTGTGCATCACCATGCCTAGCTAATTTTTTTGTATTTTTAGTAGAGATGGGGTTTCACCATGTTGGCCAGGTCAGTCTCCAAACTCCTGACCTCAGGCAATCCGCCCACCTCAGTCTCCCAAAGTGCTGGCTTTTACAGGTGTGAGCCACCGCGACTGGCCGGAGTTTGAGGTTTTCATTACGGTTTGGAATCACATCAAGGTTTTGGGGTTCACATTGCATCTTGGCACTAACTCTAATCTTGACTTGTTGTCAGGGGTCCTGCACCTCCCTTGCCTGTCCACACCTGTCCCTACCTGCTCCTGCACATGGGTGTCTCCATGCAGCACGACAGCAGGGGCCATTCCAGCCTCCGTGGGCGGCAGGGACACATTGAGGCTGAGCACAATGGGGCTCAGCTTGTCCCGGAATTCTGCCTCATCCTAGGACGGGGGCAAGAGTCAGGCCATCTTGCTGCCATACACATCCCACCTTCTGGCCAGTAGGCACCGTGTCCTGACTACCCCCGGACTCACAGCACCCAGCTCAGTGCCCCGGGGCTGGAAGAACAAGTGCAGTGGGTGTGTTCTACTCGCCCAGCCCTGCCAATCCCCTGCCTGGGCGTACTCGAAGGAAGGCCATAGTGGTGTGGCAGATGGGGCTGTGCTTTCCGCCCAGATCCAGGTTCAGGGTGGTGCCTGCCTGTTGAGAGCCCAGCAGCAGCACCCGCCGGCCCTGGCGGGGCTTCTGCCGGTCCAACTGCAGCTCGGCATTTAGGGCTGGCAGGGCAAGCAGAAGAGTCAGGACCTCCCTGGCCAGCCTCCGGGGGAGTCCAAGCCCACCTCCCTCCTATCCCCTTCATGCCACTCACACAGCTTCTGAGGAATGTTGTGCCCAGTGGCTCCAACACACATCTGGATTTTGAAGCTGCAAAGACGTAAGTGGGGCTCAGGGGTTGGGGCCTTTCTGAGGTCCCAGATCCTTCAAGACCCACGCCCTCTGCCTCCTCACCAGCTCACGGGTGTCTTGGTCTGGGGTAGGACACAGCTCTTCACAGCAGGATTCAGTGAATCTTGTACCAGTAGCTGGACAGAGGTCTTCACCACTGGCTGAGCTCTGATGGGATGGGGTCATGGGGTAGGCTTGCCACTGTGGCTCCTCCTGGCCTGGCCTCCTCTGATGGCATGGGACCTTCCCCATCCTGCCCCTGGAGCCAGCGCTTACCTGTACACAGCCACCTGGTTGGCCCCGTAAGCTCCCACAATCAGGTCTACAGACATCGAGGAAGGGGTCAGAATTGGCCATTAGAAAGGGCATGGGATCCTCATCTCATCTTCCCAGGGGTTTCCCCACACCACCTCCCCCACTGGAGGTTTCACCCAGCCCCTCCGGCAGTCCACAGTGGGACACCAGGCCAGCCATGAGCCCCTGGCTGTGTCTCTCAGCACTTCCAGCAAAAGTCCAAGGGCCTTTCTTGGGCATTTCTAACTGGAGGCAGTCCAGGGCACCTGGGTATCCGTTGTCATCGATGTCTACAGCACCTCGAAGGGAGAAGCCAAAGGCAGAGCCTGTGGGGAAGGGGCTGTCCAGGACCTGGGAGGGACGTGAACTCAGCCCCTCACTCTGACCCAGGAACACCAGCACTTGGCCCCGGCCACTGGGACCCCCGTAGGGGGCAGCCACTGCAATGTCTGGAAGAGTAACAGAAAGGGAGTGGCTGATTGTTATTCAGCCTCCCTAGATGACTGTAAAGCTTTCCTGAGCTTCTCTGGGCACATCCCAGGAGACCGGGAAAGGGGTACAAAGGGTAGGTGAAGGAGGCACCCCCTTACCCTCCAGGAGTTGACAATCAGGTGGGAGAGGGACCTGCCAAGTAGGATTGCTATAAAAACAGTGACAACTCTCACTGTCTATTGAGGAAAATATATCCTGAAAATTAAGCATCATTATTCCTTTTTCTAAATTTATTATTATTATTATTTGAGATAGAGCCTTGCTCTGTTGTCCAGGCTGGAGTGCAGTGGTGCGATCTCGGCTCACTGCAACCTGTGCCTCCCCCGTTAAAGTGATTCTTGTGCCTCAGCCTCTCTAGTAGCTGGGATTACAGACGCCTACCACCATGCTCGGCTAATTTTTGTATTTTTAGTAGAAACAGGGTTTCACCACATTGGCCAGGCTGGTCTCGAACTCCTGACCTCAAGTGATCTGCTCACTTTGGGCTCCCAAAGTGCTGGGATTACAGGTGTGAGCCACCTTTTAAAATTTTTTTATTTTTAAGACAGTCTTGCTCTGTCATTCAGGCTGGAGTGCAGTGGTGCAACCATGGCTTACTGCAGCCTCAACCTTCTGGGCTAAAGCAGTCCTCCCACCTCAGCTTCCCAAGCAGTTGAGACTACAACCACCATGCCCAGCTAATTTTAAAAAATTTTTATAGAGACAAGATATCCCTGTGTTGCCCAGGCTGGTCTCAAACTCTTAGGCTCAAGTGATCCTCCTGCCTCGGCCTCCCAAAGTGCTGGGATTCTGGGTGTGAGCCACCGTGCCTGGCCATCTAGCATCTATTTCTAACCTCTCCATTCCATCAAGCTCCCAGCCCCATCATTTCCTTCAGCAGGTGACATAATCCCTTACTTCAGGAAGAGAAGCAGCCCACTGTTATGCTATAATCCCATACTGACTTTCTTCCCGCTTCCCCATTTGACCCTGGAAGAGGTTTCCCTCCTTTACCCTGACACTGGGCCAGTCATCCTCCCACCCCCTGAGGCATCACAGGGACTCTCTGCTGGCTCATCCCCCCATTTCCCCACAACATCATTTTCAACCTACTCCATGTTCTTCCACATTGAAATAATCTTCCCTTGACCCTCATCTCTTTTCCATAATCACATTTTCTCTTTTTCCTCTCATAGTCAAACATGTCCTTTTTTTTTTTCTTTCTATTCCTCAAATTCCTTTTTACCACAAACCTGTTGAAAGAGCTGTTTACATTAGCTGCCTCCAATTTTTCACCTCCATTCATACCTTACCCAATTGCATTCTGGCTTTTGACCCTACCTTGACCTGAATCAATTTATGTCACTGTCACCAATAACCTCCTCCCCTCTTTTTCTTTCTTTCTTTTCTCCCTCCCTCTCTCTCTTTCTCTTTCTCTCTTTCTTTCTTTCGCTGACATGGAGTCTTGCTCTGTCGCCCATGCTGGAGTGCAGTAGTGGCACGATCTCAGCTCAGTGCAACCTCCACTTCCTGGGTTCCAGAGATTCTCCTGCCTCAATTTCCCAAGTAGCTGGGATTACAGGCATGAGCCACCGTGCCCGGCACCCTCTTCTTGCTAAAGCCCATGGATATTTCTCCAGCCCCATCGAATTGTACCTTGCAGCAGCATCAGGAGCTGCAGCACCCACTTCCTCCTGCACATGCTTTTTAACACATGCTCTTCCTTGAGTCCCTGGCCATCACACCCCCTGGGTTCCCTCCTCCCTCTCTGGACACTTCTCCGTCTCTTCCTCAGACTCACCTCCTGTATGAGTCACCTAAATGCTTTTGCTCCCCAGGGCTCTATCCTGGGCCTCTTCTAATTTCACAGGTCCCGGGACCTCATCCACTTTCCCCAAACCCCTGTCTCCCATTCAGATCGATCTTGTGGAAGCGGGGAAAGCCACTCCCACTGTTCTTTGGATATTTCTGCCTAAAGCACCCAAGCCCTTCAAGCTCAACAGGTCCAGAGCTGAACTGCTGATCTCCCACCTCTCCCCAGCACCTGCTGCACGGCCTGAGTTCCAGGCAGTGGAGGGCATCACAGGCACCCAACTCCAATCTCTCCCCTGGCCCCACATCCAGTCTCCCACCAAGTCCTAAGAATCCAAGTCCTAAATATCTGTGAAGTCACTCCCATCTCTAACTCCACCGCCAAAATCCACATCCAGGTGGTCATTGTCTCTTGCCCGGATTAAGGCAAACACATCCTAATTAGTCTCCTTCATCTCTCCCATCTGCTCTCCACTTAGCACCCCAGGTGTCTAAGCTACATACTTATATGCTTAAAACCCATCCTGGTTCTGGCTGCCCTCAGGCCAACTCCATGCTTTTTGTGTGTCTGTTAACTCCTCTGCACCTAGTAGGGCTCCTCTCTTCCCTCACCATTGTAGCCATCCTGGTCGAGGTCGCCCAGGGGTGCGATGGCAGAGCCGAATCGCCCATAGAGCTGTGTGCCAGTCAGCAGGAGGCTGGGGGCACCCAGCGTGTGGGGGCCTCGCGGCTGCAGGAACAAATACACACGCCCCACTTCGGCCAGTTTTCGGTCTGCCCGGCTCTCCATATACAGTGGAGCGCCCACCAGCAGGTCATGCCTCCTGTGGGCCAGATGACTGGTTATATGGGACTGGACCAGGGGGATGTTGGGGCTAGGGCCAAATCTCCCCCACCCTTGCTCTCCTGTTCCCCCGGTGAACACGTAAGGTGAGAGGAGGGGCTAGGAAAGAGAGACAGAGGGCAGCTCTGGTAATTTGGGACCCAACTGGGTAGGGGTGGGGCATATCCCTCCTCACCCATCCCCGTTGACGTCAGTGACAGCCACTGAATGCCCAAAATACGACGCCATCTGCAAGATGAGGAGCACCATCATTCAGGTCGCTGGACCAGCATCCTCTCTAAGAAATGGGCCCTCACCTCTCGTGAAATATTCTGAAGTCTCAGTTACCCCTCCACCCAGCCACTCCCACTGGGACCTGGCCCCCACCTGCTCTCCATGTAGCCGGTGCAGCCTCTGGAAGTAGGAGCCCAAAATTTCCACCTGCACGGACAGCGAAGGGGAGAGCATCATTCTTGTACCCAAAGCAGCCTCCCACTCCAGGTTGGAAAGGGCGGTTTGGTGGGGGGGGGGTGGTGCTCAGGGGTTGTCAGCCTGAGGACTGGGATAAGGGGCTTCGGGATGCCCAGTTGGTGGGGGCACTTACCGCTCCCAGCGTCCAGCTCCAAGTGGGGGCACCGACGACATACTCTGGCGAAAGGGAGAGCCAGGCTCAGGGAATGAGAGCCTTAGACCCTACCCACTTCCCGCTCCCCGTTCTGCCCCCAGGGAAGATTTATGTGCGGGAAGATTTCCCTACACAGGGGAGATTCCAGGACGGCGCTCCTCCCCGGGCTGGGCTCCCCAACTCCCGCCCTAAGTGGATTTCTTGCCTGTAGTGTTGAGATCCCCGTCGAACTCGCCCACGGCCACCGAGTACCCTGAGGACACGGGCGCAAATTAGTCTTTCCCGGGGGAGGAAGCAGGGAGGGAAAGGAGGGCAAGGAAGGAGGAGATTAAGGCCACTCAGCCCCAGCTCTGCCTTGTGCAGATGGAAAAACGGAGGCCTTCGAGGGGCCAAGCCCTGCCCCAGACTGCACTACGAGTACGCGGTGGAAGGGAGCGGTGGGCGCATGGGAGGTGGGCGGTCTGCGGGGAAGCCGCAGGAGCTGAGGGCGGGAGCGACTTAGGCGGTGGGCCGGCCGGCAGGGATGGGCATGGAGGCTCCCGCAGGGGCAAGACCTGACCGTCTGCGGTGAGCGGTGACCCTTGGGGTGCTGGAAGTCTGGAAGGGAGGTGTTACCCCAGTAGCCGTCGAAGTACTCTGGGTTGCTGGAGTCGAAGGAGAAGCTCTGGGAGGACACGTGCCACAAAAGGATGCCTGGGCGGTAACTCGAGAAAATATCCGCAATTGGAGCCTGGGCCAGGAGACCTAGGGCCGGAGGGACAGCGGGTGTGGGGCCCAAACCCCAGGGGTCTCCCCGGGCCGCGAGAAGGGAGGGAGGTATACGGATGGGCACGTACCTAAGAAATAATAGCCTCCAGGAGCCCCAAGCACCAGATCCCCGGCCTGGAAGGGAAGCCCTGAGGGTGAGAGGGGTCCCTGTTTGGGAGTCGCCCCCGTCCGCTTTTGCTCCCTACTTGCCTGAGTGACCACGGAGCTGAAGCCCGCTTCACAGTAACGCTTGTCCGAGCCTGCGGGAGACAAGGAGGAGGGGTCAGCGCAGGGCTGGAGGGAGGTGCGCGAGCGCCCGGAGGAGGGCTGCTGGGATCCTACAGGGGCGGGGCCTGGAGTCGGCAGGGCCCTGGGGCTAGGCCAGATCCAAAGCAACCGCTGCGGCGCTGGGGGCGGGATCCGATGGGGGCGGGACTAAGTCGTCGCGAGTGGGCGGGGCCAGGTCGTCGAGGGCGCTTACTAAAATTATTTTTCACGTAAATGCGGCTCAGAGTGTTCCAGCGACAGGGGGAGTACTCGGCGCGGCGGCCGCTCTCTGGCTGAGCCAAAAAGCAGCTGCCTACAGGCGTCTTCTCAGCCTCTTCGGTCTTTTCTAGGACGTTCCAGTGCTGCCAGGGGGCGCAGGCCTGGAGAAAGGCCACAGGAGAGTGGGGAAGGGCGCGAGACTTGGGCTCCTGCCGGCCCCGCGTGTCCCTGCCCCCGACTGTTCCCGGTGCCCTGTACCGCGGGGCCCACCACAATGACGTCGCTCCAGCTGACGACCGACGCCCCTAGTCCTTGGCGGGCCTTGAAGGTTTGTAAAGTTTGGGAGCCTACATTTCGGGTCTCATCACCTGGAAGGCACAAGAAGGGGTGGAGCGCTGAAGCCCGGCAGTCCACGTCCCTCTGGCCCCACCCTTGCTCTCCTTGCCTGGGACTCACGGAGGTCAAAGAGTAGCGAGGGGCACTGGCCGCCCTCGGCCCTCCAGGGGCACAGGAACACGCCGCCCGTCTCCTCCTGGCTGGGACCCAGCGTCCGTGGGGCGCCCACCACGATGGCCACTCTGCATAGGAAAGCTGGGTGAGCGCCGCGCAGATTCCAGCGTATCCCAGACCCTGGCGCCGGCGCTGGGAGCACTGCCCGGAAGGCGATGTGGCATGGGGGCACCGGACCATCTTTCCTCAATGACACCTCACAGACCATCGAGGTGTACTTCATCTTATGGACAGTGAAACTGACTCTCAGCGCGGGCAATCACGTGCGTAAAGTAACCCAGTGAGTTGAGAGTAAAGCTGGGACTATAAGGGTTTTGAGATCTTTGCTGAAAAAGACCTAAATTCTGTACAACATCTCCATCCTTCCACCCATAACAAGAACCAGAGGTTCACATGCTCCCTAGAATGCCTGTCTTGACTGTTACCAGATCCCCTCTTTTTTTTTTTTTTTTTTT